GAGAAGGAACGGGGTGGTTTTTAGTCAGTAAGAGTCTGACACTCCCTCCCGCCTCACCCAGGCGGGAGCAGTCATTCGATGATTTTCCCCCATTACAAAAAAAATTAAATAAAAAAAAAGCATGGCCTGAAACTCGTTGAGTTCCTCGTCAAATAATTACGTAAACAATAAAAGAGTAACCTATGGAGTTTCTTGCTCGTTCTTCTACATAAGAATCTATACCTTGGAATGAGCAAATAGCTTCACTTTTAATTTATATTGTTGACGTTCAAAAGTGCCTTTCTGGTCCAACTGAAATAAATGACTTTGATTTTGACTTTGATAGACTATAGAAAATTGAGTAAGAAACTCCGTAATAACTGTCAATAATCAAATTTCCTTTCCTATCTTACAGGCTGACCAAGAAATATCACGCTTGTACTCTCAAATGGTGGATAAGCAGAGAGCTAACGCTCGTCACGCTGAGCGTCTGGCCAGAGTACACGAAGTATCCCATCAACTGTCCAGGTGTAACTCCTTATTGCAACAGGTCATTATATTATTTATTACTAGCTTTTACCCGCGGCTTCGCTCGCGCACAAAAGGATAAAAAGTAGCCTATGTGACATATAGATACCAATACACACAGCGCCATCTATATCATTAATTTTGTTTTCCCTCGGGAATATCAAATTTTTTCGGAATAAAAAGTACCCTATTATTTATTCCGGACTTCTAACTTGACGTCTGCAAAAATTCAAAGCAATCAGTATAGTAGTTACGGCGTGAAAGCGGAACAAACAAACAAACTCACTTTCCGATTTATAATATTAGTAAGGATGTTTCATATTCTGCCTGACTGCCTCGTTGGCCGAGTGGTCGCAAGTGCGACTGCCGGGCAAAGGGTCCGTTTGTCAGTGGTGTCTAAATAATCTTAGAAAGTACATATAACTCGGAAAAAGTCACATTGGTACTTGCCGTTGTTAGGTTTCGGACCCGCACTCTCATGATGAGAAGCGGGCATCTTAAACCTCCGGTCGACCACGACAGTATAGGCTGTTGATGATGATCAGTACAGTACAGTAACAAATATAGTACATATACTAAAGGAAATGACAAACAAAAATAAAAATAATACTCTCATTACTTATAGTGATTTCTACCAGACAATCTTTGGGTGTATAGAATGAAAAAGAAATATTTAAACTCAATTGAGACATGAACCAATTTATATTTTCTTACATACTAAACTACTTTGCTAACCATACATATTTATATATATATTTATCTCTTTCAGACTCTACAAGACATAGAAGAAATTAATGCTCTGCTCCCCGAAGATAAACGTTTAGAACCATTTGTATGGAGTACGGAATAAATAGGTTTCAAATATAACCTGGATCTAGGTAACCTAAGTACGTGTGTCGCCTGGACAGTCAACCTCGCTACATCCTTGTTGACTGGACATCTACACTACATGAGCTGCTGTTTACATGTGAACATTAGCTCATGACGAAAGCATAATTTGTCTGTTTGCTTGTTTTTCTGTTTAAGCGTGTATATCTCAGGTAATACTGGTCCGATTTGAATGATTCTTTTTGTATCTGATAGTACTATTCTTGAGGAATGTTACATGATATATATCATCACGCTATGACTCTTAGGAGCTGAGTAGGAGAGTGAAATAATGTATGGTTACATATATGAACGCATATTCGATGAATATTAAGGTTATTAATTAAAAATTGTCATACGATTATAGCTGTATATATCTGTATGTAATATTTTTGTGTTAAATGGTTATAATGAGCTATATTCTACCAAACAAGCCCTTTCGTTTGATATCCATAATGGAGGTAGTTTGTGGAAACAATTAGATAATATTGTACGGTCATCAAGATTAAGAGTGTGTACCAAATGTCAGATCGATCTATCGTCAGGAAGGGGTAAAATAACGGGGCAAGCTGAATAATACCGTTTGATTAAAAGCTAAGATCTCACATAATATATGTTGTTATAAGTGTATTATTATTAATAATAAATAAATGATTGATTTGTATATAGATATACATTGTTGTTTTATTTCTAATATGGGAGAGCCATGCTTCGGCACTGTTGTGTCGGCTCGACCGGCGTGATACCACGGCCTCACAGTACAACGGCGTGACACTACCACAGCGTTGTGTGCAGCCGTGTCAGTGAGTACGAGGAGCTTGCCTAGGGCAAAAATTAAGTATCAACCCTATTAGGGAATAGGGTTGATACTTCATTTTTATTTTAATGTCCGTCTGGTAGATGATTTTAAATCATTAGACACGTATTTTTTCTTTTCTTACAGAAACGAATACTTTCGACGATATATTGATTTGAAATGTCGCGTGACGTCACTTCTATGTGCATTTTATACGTAGAAATGAAGTTTTAGCCCCCACTCCTAAACTTTGATTCGTTTTGTCCAAGTATTGTTTTATTATACGACAAAATAAAAAAATACGTGTCTAATATTTTTTCATTACCTAACTTACGGACTAATTATATTTTTAATTTTCATTCCCTGTCATCATCCCAATTCTTCTGGCGCCGTCGCCACTGTCTGGGCAATGGGGCATGCGTCTCTGTCACCTAGTACTCTAGACACCTTTTTAAATATTTTTTTATGGGACAAGCCCACCATAGCCTCCCAAAACCGCTGCAACTCCTATACACCAGGATCTACAGTAGATACAACCATGAAAACACTGGAACACTGAAGTCTAACGTCCCAGGAACATGGACAACTGTCTTGGATCCCGCAACGAAATGAATCCGAAGATATTATTAGAGGAGAAGAAAAATGACGGTTTCAATTCCTTTCGTGAATTTAATGCAGTAAATGAAGATAAGTCTCTTCAAATAGCATGCCATTGAGTTCGATCTTCAGTGCTTCGCATACAACCATTAATAGATAACATCATGTCTTAACATAACATAACATCACGCCTTTTATATCCGAAGGGGTAAGCAGAGGTGCACATTATACCACTGTACAATGTAACACTTACTTTTCACTATTTATATTATGAGTCCCATGTAATAGGGGGTGAGCCTATTGCCATATAATAGTTTATTAATATTTTTTTATTTAACCATTAATAGATGAAATGAAAAGAGTAGCCACTTGCTTGGTGTAGGTACTTTAGGGATAATACCACTACCTCTGTTAACCTTCTTGCAGCTTACCACCTACCACATAATTTCTGCACTACCCAAAGAATGACTTTTTTTAAGGGAATCTTTGAATGACTGCTCCCGCCTGGGTGAGGCGGGAGAGAGTGTCAGACTCTTACTGACTAAAAACCACCCCGTTCCTTCTCCTGCACGTCGAACCGGAGCCCCGGTTACCCGTTAGGTTCTCCGCGACAGGTACCCGTACTAGGATAATCCTGTGTCACAAGCGAGACTAGGTCCAACATAATTATAATTTTATTTCTATATACGCTATTACATGCATTAAGTAATACTTGACATAATTTTGTCAAAATAAAATATGAGGCGCGGAGAACGTAACACGTTACCGGGGCTCCACTCCGGCTCGACGTGCAGCAGTAGGAACGAGGTGGATTTTAGTCAGTAAGAGTCTGACACCCCCTCCCGCCTCACCTATATAGGTGGGCTTAAAAACAAAATCCCCAATCCTTTTAAACTGTCAAACACCAAGCGGTCACCGGTGACCGCAACCTATTGTTCTATAATTGTGTCTACAAAACCGGTACTCGACGAGTTAATTAATCCTCCGGGTTAATCAAAAGCGCAAATCTTCATCGAATGTGTAATCCCTTAGTTGGGTATCATACACCCATGTGAAGAGTATGGCTGGTGATTCACATATTCTCTTCCAGCGTCTCCTGTACAATGATATGAAGTGAGAAACACGCAATAAAACTTTACTCGACTCGAGCATCAACAGTCGTGATTGTAAACACTTGGCTATAAGCATCATCTTTAATTACCTAACCGGTTCCATTGTGCAACCACTGTTCAGTTAAAATAACTGTCTAATGAGTGTCAAATATTTAACTATTGCAAATAGTATATGACAGGCAGGTTGTATTTTGTGTCAAGGTTACACTTCTGCCCATCTTACGACTGTTTTCGAGGCGTAATGATGTCTTCTTAGGTACTCAATATACCTTCGGGGATGCGGATGACCTTTTTTTATTTATTTTTTTTTAAGGGGGGAAAATCATCGAATGACTCCTCCCGCCTGGGTGATGCAGGAGGGAGTGTCAGACTCTTACTGACTAAAAACCACCCCGTTCCTTCTCCTGCACGTCGAGCCGGAGCCCCGGTTACCCGTTAGGTTCTCCGCGACTATCCCCGAAGGGGTAGGCAGATGTGCACATTATGCCACTGTACTAGTATGCATACTTATCCATCTTTTCTTTATTTATCCTGATTAAATACGGAAGCTATGGCTACTTATTGGTTCTCTTACTGTTGTACATAACATAACATAACATCACGCCTTTTATCCCCGAAGGGGTAGGCAGAGGTGCACATTATACCACTGTACAATGGAACACCCACTTTTCACTATTTATGTTATGAGTCCCATGTAATAGGGGGTGAATTCCACTGTAATATAACATTTTTTTTTTGAGGGCGGTAATCATCCATTCACTTCTCCCGCCCGGGTCAGGGCGAGATGGAGTGTCAGACTTACCGACTAAAAACCACCCCGTTCCTACTCCTGGGCTTCGAGCCAGAGCCCCGGTAACCCGTTAAGTCTTCCGCGGCTCCGTATCGGCATCAGCCCTATTGGGCCCCAACTGTGGTGGTCTGATGGCTCTTTGAGGCGCGCGCGGAACGCAACGCGCCGTTCGCTCGGGTCTGGTTCTGGTCGGACGGGGAGTCACCCGTGCTCGTGTCCTCGACGGCCGAGGAGTCTCTCGCGACGGCTGAGGCGTGAGGAGGTTCGTTCCCTCACGCGCCCCGCCTCCTCCTTAGCTAGCATAATGTAATACACCTGGACCTATTTCCAGATTCACCCAAAGCCTCAGCGAAGACCCAGCGCGGTGCTGACAACAAGAAGTCGATGCTACAGCGTCGCCAGCTGAGCCTACAAGCGCGGAAGAACAAGCGCGCGAGAGATATTGTAGTAGTCAAACAAGCCACTGATGTCCAACTTGATGAAGACATTCAGAGACTTCAGGTATACTAATAAAGTATATATATAAGCCGGTAAACGAGCAGACGGATCACCTGATGGTAAGCAATCGGCGTCGCCCATGGACACCTGGAACACCAGGGACGTTACAAGTACTGCTCCCGCCTGGGTGAGGCGGGAGGGAGTGTCAGACTCTTACTGACTAAAAACCACCCCGTTCCTTCTCCTGCACGTCGAGCCGGAGCCCCGGTTACCCGTTAGGTTCTCCGCGACTCCGAATCGGCATCGGCCCTATTTGGGCCCCATCTGTGGTGGTCTGATGGCTCTTTGAGGCGCGCGCGGAACGCGACGCACCGTAGGCTCGGACTGCGGGTGACCTAGCGGGTTACCGTGGCTCCGGCTCTACACAGCAGGAACGTGGTGGTGTTCAGTCAGCAAGAGTGACATCTCTCGCCTGATCCAAGCCGGGATTCAGTCAAAGTCAAAATCATTTATTTCAATTAGACCAGAAAGGCACTTTTAAACGTCAACAAAAAAAAATAGTGAAGCTATTTGCTCATTCCAAAGTGTAGATTCTCATGGAGAAGAACGAGCAAGAAACTCCATAGGTTACTCTTTTTCAATCAGGTTCACAATACAATTCTCTAGTTACATAGTTTTGTTGGATCGATTGTGCGAGAACAATGTAACAATAAAATCCAGTCAAAGTGATCGAAAAAGAAAATAAAATTAATGTATTCTCCAATTAATAGATTATTTTAATTAATTTTTTAATAGATTATTGAATGTTTGCAAATATATTTTAATTGACTGCCTCGTTGCGAGCCGAACAAGGGGTCTTGGGTTCAATTCCCGGCTCAGGCAATGTACTGTTTCTTGAAAAATGCGAATCCAGACTAACTATCCGCCCTATGTATAACCGAGTTTTATAGGAAATTAAATACCTACGTATATAACTAACACCATTTGATGGACGAGGCCAAGATATCTATCTTTTTTATGGCATAAGCCGGTAAACGATCAGACGGATAACCTGATGGTAAGCAATCGGCGTCGCCTATGGTCACTCCAAACACCATAGGTGTTACAAGATGCGTCATCGGCGTTTCGGGGATTAGGAATTTGAGGCTTATTGGAGATTCGGGGAGGGTAATTGGGCCTCCGGTAACCTCACTCACACGACGAAACATAGCGCATGCGTTGTTTCACGTCGATTTTCTGTGAGGTCGTGGTATCACTCCGGTCGAGCCGGCCCATTCGTGCCGAAGCATGGCTCTCCCACAGTCGTTATTATACACTCATTTGGCAACGGTTTAAATACCTCATATTTAGGTACCTAGTTAAGGCTTGCTACAAAACCTAGGCCATTAAGCTCTAACATAACATCACGCCTTTTATACCCGTGGGGTAGGCAGAGGTGCACATTACGGCACTTAATGCCACTGTACAATGTAACATCCACTTTTTACTATTTATGTTATGAGTCCCATGTAATAGGGGGTGAGCCTATTGCAGACACAATTCCAGACTTCGTGCTACTACTGATTTTTTTTTTATAAAACATAACATACTTTGCCCGACCCGGGAATCGAACCCGAGACCCCTAGCCTGGCAGTCGCAATTGCGACCATTCGGCCAACGAGGCAGTCGATAAGTTTAAAAAACCATTGTACTTCAGGACGAAAACAAAAATAGATTTCACGGTGTAATTAAAATAGCAAATCGCGTAATAATATTTTACCTAACATTAAAAACTATCTACGTTATACCTAGCTGGTTTTTGTGACATCTACTCAACGAAAACAATATAGTACGCCATTCGTACTTCATTGTAGTTGTGAAACGTACCTACTGCAACACGACGACAGCGCAATCAGTTTGTGTAATTTCGCAGTAACTTTACTTGGTCGTTCAGTACAGCCATACTCCCTAACCTGTCGTGTAGTGCACTTAAAATAAAAATAACTAAAAAAGTTATAAAATAAAATTACAGTTAATATTGTAAACTACAGCAAAATTTTCACGTGAGTAACAATGCTATTGTCTTTTTTTTTTGTATCCCTATGACGTCTTTTGCCGTTTAAATATTGCGTGTTCGAAATTCGTTTTTTTTTGTTTTTTTTTATTTCGGTGTTTCAAAAATGTTCGTTTCTCTATGAAAATTATTGTTTTTTTTGTGGTTATTGTGATTGCGCTTTTTTTTGTTTTAAATTTTACTTTTTAAATTCGTAAAGAGATCGAGAACGAAATTGAATTTGTTTTATACAACGAAGTCGATTTGTCCAAAGACGTAAGTTGATTATGATAACAATTATTATTTTGTTTATTACATAACTGAGAATACAGAATAGTAAGTAGATATTATTATATAAATTAATTGCGCTTTTAATTAAATTAAAGGTCATCGCCAGATGCTAAAGTAAATGGTAGTAGTTTTACAAAAAAAAAAACATCTAAGTAATTTATACTTTTATTTATTTAATTGGGTTCCCATAGAAACATTTCAAATATTTAGACACTATGTAAAAATTAAGTACTGTTATACATCTTATATTTCTTTATCTTAATTCAAATATAATTGCAATTAAATATTTTAAGTTATTTGATAATAACTAACATCTTCCCGGCTTCGCCCGCGTCCCGTGAGGTAAAAAGTAGCCCCTATCCATGTTCCAAATTTTATCCCGATCCCTTCAGCCGTTTGGTCAAGTGAATTTATTTCTGCAAAGAGGCTACAAGGCAGCACTTTTACACGTCAATTTTATCAAGCGAACGATGAGGTCGACATTTCCTAACTGACTACTCTGAGAAGAAATGCCGAAACAAACTCAGAGGTCTGTCTCTTTTAAACTCCAGACAATATGTATAACAGATTATGTGTGAGAGATTAAGTATTGACGTGTTTGAGGGACAAATACGAACAAACTCACAACCTTTCCCGTTTATATTACTGAGTCAATATTTATTTGTCGTACAAGCTCACTAAATAACGATGCCCACTGTATGTCTGTCTAGAGGTTGTACTCTCATTTTTCTACGCTGCACGGCTTCTGTTGATCATAGTACGATGGCATTAAGTGCAGTGCGCACATCTGCATACCCCTTAGTCGCGGATCGCGGGACCATCTCCGGCCGAAACCGAACCGAACCGGCCGAACGCTGGCACGAGCTAGTTATCCTTACTAATATTATAAATCGGAAAGTGAGTTTGTTTGTTTGTTCCGCTTTCACGCCGTAACTATTGAACCGATTGCTTTGAAAGTTAGAAGTCTGGATTAAATAATAGGGTACTTTTTATCTCGGAAAAATTTGATATTCCCGAGGGAAAACAAATTATTGGTATAAGTAGATGGCGCTGTGAGTATTGGTAAATGTCACATAGGCTACTTTTTACCCTTTTGTGACGCGAGCGAAGTCGCTGGCACAAGCTAGTTATGTGTAAATTAACGATTAAAAACTAAATAGGTTTCAAGTTATAGTTAAGAGTTTTTACTTGATCTTACGCCCTTATACTGAAAGATTACTCAACTCGTTGAGTACCGTCATTATAGACACAATTATAGAACAATAGGTCACCGGTGTCCCCGCGGTGTTTGACAGTTTATTACGGTACTTGCCAACTAGTCAAATTCAATACTTTTCCCGAACTGTCAAAAACGACAGTTTTCTATGAAGTTTCAAGTACGAGATTGTGTATTGTGACGTCACGTATTTTAACATCAAACAGCATACTTACTTATTTCTCAAAATTTTGCGGTAATATTACTATAATTATCATCAAAAGCCCTTATTTTTTTTTTCTTGACATAAGCCGGTAAACGAGCAGACGGATCACCTTATGGTAAGCAATCGGCGTCGCCCAGCTTTTTGGGGATTAGGACTTTGAGGATTGTTGGGGATTCAGGGATTGGGGAGATTGACAGGGAAGGGGAGTGTAATTGGGCCTCTGGTATTCGTCCACTGCTGGACATAAGCCTCTCCAATGGCACGCCACTGAGCTCGGTCTTCAGCTCTTCTCATCCAGCCACTGCCAGCCACCTTGCGGATGTCGTCACTCCACCTAGCTGGAGGGCGCCCTACACTTCGTTTGCCTAGACGCGGTCTCCACTCTAGAACACGTTTACCCCAGCGGTTATCGGTTCTTCGACAAATGTGACCGGCCCACTGCCACTGAAGCTTACTGATCCTTTGGGCTATATCGATAACTTTGGTTCTCTGTCGGATCACTTCGTTTCGGATTCGGTCCTTCAAAGAGACTCCGAGCATAGCCCTCTCCATAGCTCGCTGCTCGACCTTAAATTGGTGGACCAGTCGCACTGTCAGTGTCCACGTCTCGGCTCCGTATGTCATTACTGGAAGGACGCACTCGTTGAAGTCTTTCGTCTTCAGGCTTTGCGGTATCTGTGACGAGAAGACTTGATTCAGTTTTCTATATGCTGCCCAGCCAAGCTGTTATTAAGGTGGTCATAAATTCAATCAATGAAAGTGTGATTATTTTTTTAATATTTTATTGTATTGAACAGTCGAAATAATTTATTTTTGACTAGCTTTTACCCGCGGCTTCGCTCGCGTCACAAAATGATAAAACGTAGCCTATGTAACATATACCAATACACACAGCGCCATCTATACCAATACTTTTGTTTTCCCTCGGGAATATCAAATTTTTCCGGGATAAAAAATACCCTATTATTTAATCCGGACATCTAAGTTTACGTCTGTAAAAATTCAAAGCAATCGGTTTAGTAGTTACGGCGTGAAAGTGGAACAAACAAACTCATTTTCCGATTTAAAATATTAGTAAGGATTAAGGAAAATACCCAATTTTATGTTGTACTTAAATATCGTGCCATCTCTATCATTTTACAAAGACTCTGTAGAGACAGAACTATGGTTAGAGGGATTTAAAATCGAGTGGAGTTTCCGTATTAGGCCATTATAGTCTAGTCAATTTTCTTGTTACATCTTATTCCTAGAATTACGATATTAGGTTTTTGTTGATATAGACTTTATTTTATCTGTGTGCTTAAGCGAAGCCAAGGTTAAAATTATTGTATCCGTTACTGTACGGCGTACATGAATGGGTCGAGACATGATTGTCTTTAACATAACATAACATCAAAACTTTTATCCCCGAAGGGGTATGCAGAGGTGCACAATAATGTAATACCCACTTTTCACTATAATTTATGAGTCCCATGTAACAGGGGGTGAGCCTATTGGGGAAATAAAAAAAAGATCTTAAATACACTGGCTCATATAAAGGCATACTATAAACCTTACGGCAACGACAGAGTAAAATAATACTGTTAGCACCGCTACTCTTCCCGCGGGTATGGTATACCCGATGGACGCTACACATCTGACACAGACATGGTAGCATTTTTTGTTATACTTATAATTACCTACCTAAGCCTTGTAATTAGGTAGGTACTTTCCTTAATCGAAAATAAATGATTTCGACTGTTCAATACAATAAAATATTAAAAAATAATCACACTTTCATTAATTGATTTTATGACCAACTTAATGTTAGTATTTTTCCAAGAATTTAAATAAAAAATCACTATGCTGTTTGACGCTAAAAAAACGTGACGTCACAATACACAATCTCGTACAAAATTCATAGAAAACTGTCGTTTTTGACAGTTCGAAAAAAATAATTGAATTTGACTAGTTGGCAATACCGTATTAGGGACCTCGTGAGATACTACAACCAATTTCACAATAGCTAAATTGAGATTTTGAACACCATCAAAATATAGGTCTACCTTTCATAAACCAAGCTACGAATCAAACAGCCTGCTGCAAGTTATTTTAGTTATGCAAGGGATCTTACCAAGGCTCTGACCACTCCCTGATAGCACAAGGCCATTAACGCACTTGTAACTCCACTAGTATTGCGGGTATCTCACAGGCGACGGTGATTGCTTACCATCAGGTGATCCGTCGGCTCGTTTGCCGCTATTACCGCCCAGGGTGCTTACTCTTGAAACCAATCTCAATGTCAATGCAATTTCAATCCAATAAAATCTCAATGATTATTCAATGTCAACACTATACAACCCCTATTGTAGCTGTTAAAATAGCATTCAGAGTACGGAATATAAAGCCAAAGTCAATACCTTTTAGTTCATTCAATATCCACGGAATACGGATGTAATGGGCGCTAGTGTTGCAACTCGAGAGTACGAAATTTCACAATACCAATGTCGATCGATCGGAATTGGATTCAAGAGTAAGCCCCCTGGGCAAAGTGGTCTACACTGCTAAGATAATAAAAATAAATAACTCCATTTAAAAAAACCGTATACAAAAACCAAAAATAAACGAAAAGTATCAATTAAAAACCAAGATGTTTTGACGTCACTCATTCAACAAATTCATTATGTAGGTAGGTAGGTGTATCTACTGTCGTACTGTCTAAGTAGGTACACCTAGGTACGCTTTATCTAAGGGTCTAGAGGTCACAAGTTCAGTCTCTGTGTCGGTCAAAGTATTATTGTGTGCTTCGATTCGAAATAAATACATGAATAGAACGAAGTGGGAATGGGCCGGCTCGACCGGAGTGATACCACGGCCTCACAGAAAACCGACGTGAAGCAACGCTTGCGTTGTGTTTCGTCGTGTGAGTGAGGTTACCGGAGGCCCAATTACCCTCCCCTTCCCCAATCCCTGAATCCCCAACGATCCTCAAACTCCTAATCCCCAAAAAGCCGATAACGCACTTGTAACGCCTCTGGTGTTCCAGGTGTCCATGGGCGACGCTGATTGCTTACCATCAGGTGATCCGTCTGCTCGTTTACCGACTTATGCCATAAAAAAACAGTTTGTAATTATCTACATTTATTAATTCGTTTTTGTGGCTTGGAGTTGCGGGTTCGAATTCTACCAACATCAAGTACCAATATGACTTTTCCCGAGTTATATGTACTTTCTACGATTATCTAGACACCACTGACAAACGGTGAAGGAAAACATCGTGAGGAAACCTGGGCTTATAATTTCTAATTATAAGTTTGAA